TCTGATAAAGGACTGGTATCCAAAACATACAATCAACTATTAAAACCCAAAAATAAGAAAATAACCCGATTTTTAAAATGAGACAAAGATATGAACATACACTTCACCAAAGAAGATATACAGATGACAAATATGCATAAGAAAAGAAGCTCAATAAAATATGCCATTAGGCAACTGCAAGGTAAAACAAATGTATCAGTACATACCTGTTAGAACTACTTGAAAAAAAAATCTTCAACCCCATGTTCACTGAAGCATTATTTACAATAGCCAAGGCACACAACAACTTAAGTGTCCATCAAGTGATGAATGGATAAATAAAATGTGGTACACACACACACACACACACACACACACACACACACACACACACTAACAGAATGTTATTCAACCAAAAAAAAGAAGGGAATCTTGCCATTTTCAACAACATGGGTGGACTTCCAGGGCATAATACTAAGCAAAATAAGTCAGACAGAGAAAAATAAATACTGTATGATGTCATTTACATGTGGAATATTAAAAAAAATCAATACAGAGAACAGATTTGCAGTTGCCAGAGACAGGGGTTGAGGGTTGGAGGAAATGGATGAAGGTGGTCAAAAGATATAAACTTCCACTTATAAGATAAATAGGTCCTGGGGATTTAGTTAACAATACTGCGTTGTATATTTGAAAGCTACTAGGAGAGTAAATCTTAAAAGTCTCATCATAAGAAAAAAAAAAAAAAAGAAGTGTAACTATGTATGGTGGTGGATGTTAACTAAACTTACTAAATTTATTGTGGCAATAATTTTGCAATTTACACATGTATCAATGATTATGTTGTACACCTAAAACTAATAAAATGTTATATGACAATTATATCACAATTTTAAAAAATAATAATGTATCAGTATTTGACTCACTAATTATAACAAATGTACCACAGTAATGCAAGATATTAATAATAGGGAAACTGTGTCAGGGCAGGGCAGAATGAAGAGCCTATGGGTACTGCCTGTACTATTCCTTCAATTTTTCAGTAAATCTAGAACTAGTCTAAAAAATAAAGTCTATTAATTTTAAAAAATTAATAAACAGATAGTACCAAGTGCTGACAAAGTTACAGAACACCCAGAAGCCTCCATATATTGCTGCTGGGAATGAAAATTGGTATAACCAGTCTGGAAAACAGTTTTTGCAGTTAAATATAGACTTACCATATGATTCAGGAATCCCACTTCTAGGCATTTAATCTAGAAAAATATAAACTTATGCTTAAAAAAATTGTGTGCAAGTATGTATAGCAGCTTTATTCCTAATTGCCAAAAACTGGAAACGACCCGTATGTCCTTCAGTCGTCAATGGAGGAATGGTTAAACAAATTACTGATATACACAACAACATGGATGAAATCTCAATGGCATTTTGCTGAGTGAAAAAGTCACTCTCAAAAAATTATTTATTAAAAAAAACCCATTATTTATTCTGTGATTTCATTCATATGACATTATGGAAAATGTAGAAAGTACAGGTACAGAAAACAACATTACCATGGATTAGGGATGGGGATAGAGAGTAACTACAAAGGGGACAGCACCAGGGAAATTTTTGGAGTGATGGAACTGTACACTATCTTCACGTGATGATAGTTATAGGAGTTATAGGAGTCTCTACAGGTCTTGTAACTCATAAGACTGTACACCAAGAAACAAATTATAAATAAATACAAATACACACACACAGACCCATTTATTACAGTGGTGGTTGCAAAAGTGTATATACCTTTGTCAAAATTCAGAACACTTAAAATGTCACAGACATAGAAAACAAACATATGGTTACCAGAGGGGAAGGGAATGGGAAAGGATAAATTGGGAGTTTGAGATTTGCAGATACTACTATATATAAAATAGGTAAACAAGTTTACACTGTATAGCACAGTGAACCATATTCAGTATCTTGTAGTAACTTATGGTGAAAAAGAATATGATAACGAATATATGTATGTTCATGTATGACTGAAGCATTGTGCTATACACCAGAAATTGATGCATTGTAAACTGAATATACTTCAATAAAACTATTAAGTTTAAAAAAGAACACTTAAAATAGATTAACTCAATTATACATAAACTGTCAATAAAATTTATTTTAAAAAGGGCAAAAAATCTGAACAGACACTTCACAAAAAAAGAGAAGATAAACAGCAGCTAATCAGCATATGAAAATGTTTTAACTCCATTAGTCAACAGGGCAATGCAAATTAAAACCAAGCCCAAAAGTCCATCAATATGAGAATTAAATTGCTGTTATATTCATATAATAGCATATTACTTAGCAATAAAAAGGAACAAATCACTGATAAATACAAAACAGGAATCAGTTTCAACAACATTTAACTGAGCAATAGAGGGCAACCGCAAAAGAGTATATACTGTATGAACAGACAAAACTATCTTACAGATATAAAATCAGAAAATTGGTTGTGAGGAACACGGTGGGAACGGTGACAGCAGGAAAAGAGAAGACACAATGGAAAGAGACATAAGGGAACTTTTAAGGCCCGTGACGATGCTCTATTTCATTGGATATTGGTTGCATGTGTTAAATTAGTCAAAGCTCATTCAATTATATGCCTAAGATTCGTGCAGCCTATTTTATATAATTATGTCTCAACAAAAACCACAAATAAATACATAAGATTAAATTCTGCTATGGACTATAGAAAATGGCATTTATCCTTTTTTTTTTTCATTGAAACCTATGGCATATGGGTGAAACAACGAAGCAAGATTTTGGTAACGCTTCAAACTCCAGTAACAATAAAGCACACAACAAATACTGTGAAGTCTAAAGCAAAAAGGAAGCAAGGTAACGCTGACATATGCCACTTCAAATCTCAAACAGGATGTAGATTCCCCCAAAGTTAAGTATCACTATACTAAAAAAGATAGACACCCAACTAGAGTGGGAAACAAGTCACAGGAAAAGAAAATATGTCTCTGAGGAGGTTTAGTTCATTCAGTAAGTTAGAGAGAATTAAAGGAGAAAATAAGTCATTAGTTCTCAGGAAAAGGAGACTGCTGAAAGGAAGAGGAGGTAAGGAAGAGAGAGGACAGCAGATTATATAACACAAAGACTTAATACCTAAAGAGCTGCCCGGTGAACCATATCTTTTTGAAGGACAAAAGCTAAATGAAGATTATACAGGGTAAAGGAAAAAACACATCTGGTAAGATCCTCTTTAAGAAAACAAACCTAACAAAAATCATGTCTACTTCCAAGAAACTGTGTATGTGTATATTTAAAATGATACATATGTATCTTTTCACTCCACTCAATATTCTAAAACATAAAATATGTAAATGCAAAGAGATAAAATTTTCTTAAAATAATGTTTTTTTCTTCCACTGGCAACAATTTTACTGCATGATAATGCCCAGTGCTAGTAAATTTGTAGAAATATGGGAGCTCTCACTGGTGGCAATATAAATTGGTAGAAATTTTCTGTGAGATAATTTTGCAATATTTATTAAAATTTAATATTCAAATTCCCTTAGACCCAGTAATCCCACCCAAAAATGGTTCCCTGTTTATGAAAAATGATGTTCGCTACAACACTGTTTCTATTAGTAAAACACCAGAAACAACCGAACTGTCTACTATCAATGTACTAAGTGAATAAATTACAATATACAGTATATCTTTGGAGTACTGCAAGGCCAACAAAAAATAAACAAAGAAGTAGATCTAAATGTGTCAAAATAGAAAAAAATTTAAAGATATTATTAACTGAAAACGGCAAAGAACAGAATTAGATGTATTTCATGATCCCTCTTCAGCAATGATCAAAAAATAACATAAACTCATATGTGGGCAATATGCTTTTCTTTTTTGTACACTGTATAAAAAACAAACTATTATTTAATAATTAAAATTTTAAATAATCTTAAAGCAATTAATACCAATGATAAATCTTTCCTCTGAGAACAAGTTATAATAAATGGTTAATTTTTCTTGCCTGTAACATGAAAACACATATACTCAAGGTGACTTAAAGTCTCTTATCCTAAAATGCTACTGTTAGGAACTGGATTGTCTCTTCCAAAATCCGTATGTTGAAGCCCTAACTATTAATATGACTATATGTGGAGACAGGGCCTTCACAGAGGTAATTAAGTTTAAATGAGGTCCTAAGGGTGGGAATCTAATCCTACAGGACTAGTGTCCTTATAAGAAGAGGAGGAAACTCCAAGGGATGTGGATACACAGAAAAGAGATCATGTGAGGATACAGCAAGAAGGTGGCCACCTATAAGCCAAGGAGAGAGGCCTTGGAGACACCAACCCTGCTAGCACCTTGATCCTGGACTTTCAGCCTCCAGAACTCTGAGAAAATAACTTTCTGTTGTTGAAGCCACCTGACCTGTGGTATTTTGTTATGTTAGCCCAGCAAATTAATATGTATAGTCTCAACTGGAGAAATTGGAAAGTATGAGAAAAATTCTATTTTTAAAACATTGATCATGAGTTGTGCAAGTGAAGGGGAAAAAAATTTTAAAAATGCTATCTTAAGCCATATTCATGAGAACTCTAAAGTAATACTTAACAGTGATAAAATAAGTTCAGATTTATAATCACGATATCTTTTAGAATACATTTGTGTCACCCTTGAAGATATACTTTCTCAAATTTACAAAACACGAGAAAAAAAAGCAAGTTGATTCTAAAGACCTGAACGGTCTCATAAATGTAAAATACAATATATTTCATAATAATGAGATTTAAATTTCATGAAGAAAACAACCATGCATAATACAGTATTCTTAGATTAAAAGTAAAAAAAAAACAAAAAAAACCCTAATCTCTTCAACATATGCCAGAAATAAATTCATTTAAAATTATATAACACAGGAAAACCAAAAAAGGACATAATAGGAAAATAAAAATTCAGCTTTATTAAAATATTTTAAACATACCAAATAATGCCACATACTTAAAAGAAAAGTTTTTATTTACCCCCTGCAAAGGGAGATCCCAGCGTTCTGAGCGTCTGAGTTTGGACAGTGGTGACTGAACACAAATATCCTCTGGTTTTGCATTTAACATCTTTGTTATCTAAATCCAGAATGAGAAAATAATCAGTTTAAGTGAAATATAAATAAAAGCCAATGACCTAAAAGAACTATTATATTATCCGCATTAATATTTTGCTATTACTTTTAAAGAGTTTTAATTTCAGTGCTTAATTTATAGGCAGTTAAATATAATTTGTAAAAAATCTCTCATTCAGTATAAAGGTAGGTAAATGAAGTACCACAATAACTTCCTAACTATTCTTACCTACAGTTTCTCCCCCTTCTAATTTTTCAAATGCTTTCCCCAGAGTTCCCTAATACACAAATATAATTATGGTACAATCTTAAAATACAATAATGGCTTCCATTACTTACAGATAAAACTCTTAACAATCTGGGCTCCTTGACATCACCCACACATCACAAACTCGATACTCCAACAACATTGAGTTTATTGAATCTTTTTCAAACATATATTATATCTCTAGCCCCTTGTAAGTGCTGCTCCTTCAACCCAGAATGCTCTCCCCTCTAATTCTCCCTTGTTAAAATACTTCAGATTCTGCACAAAATTATTCTCTTATCCACACAACTGTCACTGCCACACCAAGGCATTTCTTTCTCTGGGTATTAGAACTTGGTAACTGATATTACGCATATCATACTATATTATAATTATTCATCTACATGAATGTTTTCTTCTGCAGACTGTGGAGGTCACTAAAGAGAGTGCCCTGATCTTTATACCTCCAAAGTGTATATCGCTCATGATACACTGAATAAACAAATGAATGAACATACAGATTGCAGCCATGAGTTTGAAATCATTTGTTTGGATCTGAAATAATTTAACTTTCACATTATAAATGATGCTTAAGCATCAAGTTCAGCTTATTATATGACATAAAATAAAGCACTATATCAACTACCACTAACAACCATAAAATGATTTCAATGAGAGTAAAGCATTAAGTCAGGAGGATAAAATAAATCTGAAGAAAGGGTACTCAACTCTTTTATTTCATTAGCATTTCTGTATTAATCCTCCTGGGCACCAGTAATGTCTTAATTATTTATACCAAATCTATATAAAAAGGTACCTCTTTATAATTTTTTATCTGCAAAAACAGCATTTTCTCTCAATCAGTCATTTCCTTCATATTCTTAACGAAGGAACAAGAGTTGTTCTCTCAGAGAGTGAAATAAGGGTTTCGGGCTAATCACACCCATGGATCCTTTGTGAGTAGGATATTTAGCCTCTATTAGACACCGTGGCACACCGTATTGTCCACAGATGGTCATATCAATATTCCACATCCCACATCCCCTTTTTACAACGTGACACTGACCATTTCTCCAACATCAGGTGTGGTCTACGTTTCTTCCCCTTGAATCTAAGCAGAACTGTGACTGGAATTCCAAGGCTAGATCATAAAAGGCAATACATGGAGCTGCACTGCTTCAGCCTGGCTCTCATGTACTTGCGTGTTCTCCCTTCTTTCCTGTCTTTTCCCCTTTCTCTCTGTCTCTCAGTACACATGCCTTGGGAGCCCTGAGCCATAGCTTAAAAAAGTCTTGGACACCCTGAAGTTGCTGTGCTGCAAAGATCACATGAAAAGGCTAAAAACAATAGATATACATCAAGATATCTGAGTCTTCCCAACACAGGTATGAAGATAAGTGAGTGATCCTTTAAGATGATTCCAGGCCCCAGCCTCGGAGCAAACCTAGCTAACATCAGCTAAAATAAGGAAAAGCTATCTCCAACTGAACCCTGCCCAGACAACAGATTCATGAGCAAAATAAGTTTAAACTGTTAAGTTTGGGGGTAATTTGTTACACAGCCCTAGTAATAATCTGAAAAGATGCCAAGGTCAAACTTGAAGGAGAGCAACTGCTATTTTAAAAAGAGTTGGGCATAGGTTTTAAGCATTTTGCAAAATGTCTATCTTATAGAAGACTGTTGATGTCTTCTGTGGAAGATATATTTTATATCCTTTTTGCACAACAGTTTTTACTATTTTACCTGTGAGTGGCTTAGACTCAACGTCAATAAATTATTTGCCCTAATAAATATTCATGTATTCTTCCATTAGGAACAACACAAAACATAATCTACCTTATTTTCAAAAAGAGCAGTCTCTGCTTCCCCCAAAAGTATAGAAATAGGAGATTTATTAAAACTCAAAATAAACATCAAGAGGCATGAAAATCAAAGTATCATTGACCCTTGAACAACTCAGGAGTTGGGGCACTGCACCCCTGCACAGTTGAAAATCTGAGTAACTTTATCATCAGCCCCTCGTATCCACAGTTTCACATCCCCGGGTTCAACCAACTACGGATTGTATAGTCCTAAAATATTTATTTTTAAAATTCCGCATGTAGGTGAACCAGCACAGTTCAAATCTATTGTGTTTAAGGACCAACTTATACACATAAAAATATTTATGAACAGGGACATAGACTATATATTACTTACAATATACAAAAACCAGAAACAATGACAATAAAAGAGCAATTAAACAAAACTATGGTAAAACTAAATAATGAGACACTTTCATTTATTAAACTACACGTTCCAAAAGAATAATTAATGATATAAGACATTATTTCCAACATAAGTTGCAAAGAAAATCATACATACAAAATGATCTCTCTTTCATAAAACAAAAAAAAAATCCATGTATAGAAAACAAATGTGAAATGATACACACAAAAATGTTTAACAGTAATTATCTCTGAATGCTGATGTAGTAGGTGATTTTTATTTTCATTTTTGTATTTTCCTACAGTTTCCAAATGTTTTGTATTTTAATAGGAGTATCATGCAATTACTAAAGGCAAGAAAAAAATAAACGAACATTTAAAGCTCAAAAAAAAACCTCTGCTGCAGCTTCTTGGTCAATAAATGTCTCAGTCTAATATTGTGTATGAGTGGCAAGCAGACTTTAGATACAAACTAACTACTTTGTCCATTTTTTCTACACTCACTTTTTATTAATGATTAAATCATTGATAATGACATAAGTCTTTTTGCAACAATCTGATCTATTCTTAGACAAATTTTAATAATGGTCTCAAGTGTGTACAATTAAAAAAGATTCTAAGCCACTAATGATTCTGCAAAGCCTCATAACAAGAATCAGAATGGATTCCTAATACTTTCAAGTACTTTCAATAGTCTCCTAATACTTTAAAGACTGAAATTTAATCTTTTAAGGCAAGAATGGGTTTTAAAACCCCTTCAATGAAGTTATACTTAAATACACTTAAAGAACTCTAACAATGTCCCCAAAACAAAGCTCAAGGACATTTATTTTATTTACTAATATTCAAATATACTATTAAACAAGACTTGCAGCAGTTCAATTCACGCAGTTACTTCGAGGTTTTCATTTTATACCTAATTCATTGCAGTATGCCCTCAAAAAGAATGCAGTCCAAAGAGGATAATCCAGGGCAGGGGGAGGGATGCTACATTCTATTGACAAATCATACATTGTTAACAAATGCTCTTTAAACTGTTCGAGTTGAGATGATCTCTGCCATGTTCTTCATACAGAACTTAAGAATTGTAATCACTTATTTGTTTGGACACTACATAGATATAAAGCTTTATTTGAGGAAAATTTGAGGTCTGCTCATGGGTATGGCTATGACTTACCAAGGAAAAATTAAAGTCTTGTTTTTCAGTTTTCAGTCTCAGCCTCCCACGTATAAATCCAAAGATTATAAATATCTCCCCATTAGCGGAGTTCAAAGTGTTCACACTCTTACTCTACATCTATCCAGAGAGGAGATGTAAGCCTTGAATTAATCTATTTCCAGCTCCTATCAAAGGGCCAGGAGTAATTTAGTAGATAATGATATTCCAAAGATTTAGCTACAAGGGTAACAACTGCAGTACTATTTATAATTTTTTAAACTGAAAAAAATATAATGAAAGGATAGTGGTTAAATTAACTGTGATATACCGTAAAATGGAATACAGTGTAGTCATTAAAAATATTTACTACTGCTTATGCCTGGTACTAACGCTCAGTAGAGTATCCAACACACATTAAGTATGCAATAAGTATCTACTGAGAAATGCTTAAATTTGATTTCATAAAATGATGTTCACAATACATAGTTAAGTAGAAAAAGTTAATTATAAAACAGTATTTTATGATTTTTAATTGTTAATATTTAAATATTTATCATAAATAAGCAGACAAACTAGAAGCATATATACCTTAGTATTAATTTTGATTGAATCCAGGTGGTCTTTTTGTGTACTTGAATTTTCCATTTTCTTGACAACAATCTAGTATTGAGTTAGAAATATTTTTTTAATACTTTACACTCAAAATGCATCAGTATCATGTTCCTATATCCATCAATGCTCTAATCCTTTTAGTAATTTATTTCCCTAGCTGCCTTGAGAGAAAAAGCAGTAATATGAGCTACTAACGAAAATTTAATATGCCAATTTTTTAAGAATTTACAATTTTAAAGAGCAGTAGTACAACTTTGTGTGCATATTATGGTTGAACAAGTAAGAAAATATATTGTAGACAATGAAAGACAGAAAAAAAGTTAAAAATAAAGAGGGAAGGCTAGAATAAGCCCTGTGGTATTGGACTGGAATCAGAAGTAACAGTACTGAACTCATGGGGTTTTTTTTCAGTTGTACAGAAAAGTAGTTAGAGAAATAAATATATACAGATTAGTATGTATGTGTATGGGTTAGTATACATATATTTTTCTAGTCCTGTCTATTGAGATAGCCTAGAAACAATGATACTGCAGCAGCAAAGAGCACACCTAACACCCAGATCTGGTTCTAAAGACCATTCTTCAATAAAAAGAATCAGGGCTCCTTGGAAAGTCCCTTGCAGTACCAGAAAGTAAGGAGGCGGTCAAAAAAAAAAAAAAAAGGAGCATGTCAAAAGGGCACAGGAGTCATCCGTCATCCTGAAAGATCTCCCAATGCCAAAGCTGGAATTCTTTGATCAACAAAACCAGTAATGACAGTAGTAGACTATAACACATAAAATAAAATAAATACCTATGAGTCCATATTGATATATGTAAATAATGAATAAATAAATAAGTGAGGGAAGAGGGACAGCTCACCCTTACAGAAGAATTTTAATTAATAAATATAGAGGAATGAAGAAAACAGAAAATCACCAATAGAATATTGCTTATTAATTGTTGCAGGTAAGATCCACTGCTAGATGCTAAAAAAGAGGGTGAAAGATTGAGAACAAACAGTATATCTGCATAGATTCAAAATATCTCTCCCAACTCAAACTTCCAGTCATAAGATAGACAAGTACTAGGGATGTAATGTAAAACATGATAAAGATAATTAACACTGCTCTAAGTTACAAATGAAAGTTAAGAGAGTAAATCCTAAGAGTTCTCATCACAAGGAAAAATAATGTTTTTCTATTTTTTTAATGTTGTACCTATACAAGATGATGGATGCTCACTAAACCTACTGTGGTAATCCTTTCATGATATATGTTAAGTCAAATCATTTTACTGTACACCTGAAACTTATTGAGTCCTGTATGTTAATTATATCTCAATAAAACTGGGGGGAAAAACACAAAATACGTCTCCCAAGATATCTACTTATTACAAATGGAAAGAGCAACTCTACAACAGAGTAACCAGGCAGATACCATCTTAACCAGGTGATCAAGACTGACATCACCAGTAATAAGACTTATCATCATCACGTGTTCCCTGACAGGATATACTGAGAAGGGCACAATATTTCCATGGTATTCCTCCCATAAAACCATACCCTTAATCTAATCATGCATGATTAGAAACATGAGACAAACTCAGACTGAGGGTTATTCAACAAAATATTGACCAGCACTCTTTAAGCGTCCTTGTCAGGAAAGAAAAAAGACAAGAACTGTCACAGACAGAAGGAAATCAATGCAATGTGGGATCCTGGATTAGATCCTGAAACAGAAACATGACATCAGTGGAAAAATTGAAGAAATCCAAATAATGTCTGTAGTTTAAAATATTATACTTATGTTAATTTCTTTATCTTGATAATTTTACTACAGTAATGTAACATATTAACATTAGCAAAAGCTGAGTTAAGGGTAGATGGGAATTCTGTACTATTTCTGTAAATCTAAAGTTACTTGAAAATGAAAAGTTTTTTTAAAATGCTGTTGTAAATCAACTATACTTCAATTTTTAAAAATGCTGTCCCTGGTATTAAAAAATAATCACTTCTGAAAAAAATTGATGTTCTACAACTAAAAATTAGAAAGGGAAATATATTTACTCAATATCTTTAAGTTCTAATGAAAGAATTTCAGATTAAGCTGCATGAAGCAATAGCCTAAAGCAGAGAATTTCACTTCACTGAAGGCATTAAATGGAAAAAAAGAGTAGTAGTCAATACAGCGGTATTTAAAACTGGGTACAGTAACAATGTAAAATTTTCTTTTTTACCTCCCTTATTTACCTCACTTAAGCTAGCTAAATCCTGAATTTTAAATGACGGGACTACATCCCTCAAATCTGAAGGAAGCCAAGATAGAGAAAGAGTACTTAAAGTCAAGATCTCTGTGTGGTGTTGCAAGGTACTCTTGATTCCTCTCACAGCCCTCCTTTATGATTTCTTCTTCTCCCTCTTTAGTCCACAAAACATACCAAATTAAAGTCCTCTGTGTATAATTAGAATGCTTCAGAGAAAAGTCTATAATAAATTATTATAGTGCACATCAAAGTATTTAAAGCATTTAAATCACAAAATTCCCTAGGAAAATATTATCTTTCTAAAAACAGATCAATGTTTTTAAACATCTCCTATGTACGCAGAAACTTCATTTTGCTTGTGTTGCTACTCTTGGCTTATATAGAAGAATATATAAATGGAAAAAAAAAGATGTTTAACAGGACATATTCCAAATAGTAATTTTCACCACATGACTTGAACACAGCTTTCCAACATCTATAGCATCATAATGAATAAACCTAAGGTGCGCTAACAAATCAGTCATCAAAGAAATGCTTGCTCTGTTTTATATAAATCTGAAAAAAAGACCTGGAAAGGATACTAGTACATTTCACAATGATTTAAACAAGGTTGGCCCAAGAAAGAGTTTCCTAGTTAACTCTCAATTAACTAGGATATACCATTCCACAGAAACCACTGATTAGTTAAGTATTTACAGTATTTTCTTTAAAATTTTATTAAAAAACCGAACACCAAAATATTTTCAATATTAGTAATTCTAAAGATAATGCAAAGGTTAAGAACAAAACTAATACATACCTTTTGTAACTCCGAAGATGAAGACTTTTTCCTTTTTCCTTCTGTGACAATTTCTACAAAGACATGGTAAAAAAATTATCATTTAACATTAAATGATGGAAAACATTATGGAGATCCCTCAAAAAACTAAAAATATACTTAACATATGATCCAGCAATCCCACTCCTGGGCATATATCCAGAGGGAACCTTAATTCAAAAAGACACATGCACCCCAATGTTCATAGCAGTACTATTTACAATAGCCAAGACATGGAAACAATCCAAATGTCCATTGACAGATGACTGGATAAAGAAGCTGTGGTATATGTATACAATGGAATACTACTCGGCCATAAAAAATAATAAAATAATGCCATTTGCAGCAACATGGATGGATCTAGACAATGTCATCCTAAGTGAAGTAAGCCAGAAAGAGAAGGAAAAATACCATATGATATCACTCATATGCAGAATCTTTAAATTTAAAAAAAAAAGACAAATGAACCTTTTTCAAAACAGAAACAGACTCACAGACATAGAAAACAAACTTATGGTTACCAGAGGGGAAGGGGATGGAAAGGGATGAATTGGGAGTTTGAGATTTGCAGATACTAACTACTATATATAAAATAAACAAGTTTCTACTGTGCAGCACAAGGAACTATATTCAGTATCTCATGGTAACCTATAATGAAAAAGAGAATGAAAAGGAATATATGCATGTACATGTATCTGTACACTAGAAATTGATACAACATTGTAAAAAGACTATACTCCAATTTTTAAAAAACCCACTGCTGCATGCCAAGCATCATGTTGAGAACTTAAAAAAAAATTTAATATCCCTCTTTAAGAGACCTTAGTATATTAGTATTAGCATGTAGGAAAATCACTCTAATTATTCTCATTCTATATATACGAGTTAAACAATTAAAAAGCATGACATTTTCCCAAGTAGTTTGTGGAATCATTCATTCACTTATTTATTCTATAAACATTTATTTAAAATAATAGTAATTACCACTGCTAGGCACTATTTTGCACAAATTTTATCTTTACAAAAGCCTTGTGAGTTCAGGAATGGTATTACCTCTATTTTACAGATGAAAAATTTAGGTTTGAAAAATCTAAATAACTTGCTCAAGGTCATCATGTTAATCCATCACTGGTCTGATTCCAGAGTGGTATTCTTACCACTCTTCAGTACACTTTAAGTATGCTGGATGCTATGGGGACATAAGATGAATAAAACAGTTGCTGTCACCTAGTTAACAGTGTAACACTTAGAGGTTATACAAATCTGATAAACATCACGTAAGAGGAGCAAAGACCTGTGGAAGTTCAGAAATAGGCATATATATTTTTAAGTCTCAGTTCATTAGGAGATAGTTCCTGGAAAGGAACAATTGGACTGGGCTTTGAAGTAAGTTTTAGATAATGAGTAAGTTTTAGATAGGTAGAAATGGGTGGAAGGACAGTGCAACGTGCCGCCAAGAAGTGAGTCAACATAGGTATATATGATGAAGCAGCCCACATTAGCCAGCCTCCTAAATTATTAAAGACTCGTATTAGAGCTAAGTATCTGAGACGCAGGTTTGAGATGGCACCATTATAGCAAAATTCCAGTCTAGATCTTTAGGGATACTCAATCCTATCCATAATCCATTCCCTGTGTTACCATATCCCTCTAATCTACTTTCCAGTCCTCTGCCTTCCATCAACAGACCTGGGAATCACAATCACCACCCTAAATGTCAATCCCTTCAGCTTATTACCTTGCTATTCTCTCAGTTCTCCTCACCCTACCTTTTCTTCTACATGCTTTTGTTTTTTAAACTTGATCCTTTAACATGTGTCTTTTTAACACTTTTTGTTTTGTTATATATATTTTTAATTTTCTTGAAATAGAGTTGTCATCTACACTCTTCTCTATCTCTTCCCTAGCCCACCAAATTCCTTTCGAAAGTCAAAACAATTTCCTTAAATTCTGAAACATTTCCTTGAACATTTCCTCCACCTTAGTTTACCTGAATCCCTTTTATTACTTTTTATTACATAAATTATATATCATAAATTATTATTATATTATATAGCTTTTTATTGACCACACTATTTTTTTAAGACTCAAGAAGATTCTTGTCCCACTCATAAAAACAGAGGTAGGGATTAACGATCTCTTTCTTCCACCATTACATCCAATTAATATTCCATCTTTATTACAGTAACTCTTCCTTTAAAATTCCCAAAGTTGTATGTATTATTACCTCATCCATATTTGTAATTGCCATGTACTGACCCAAGACCTTCTCCAACATTCCTAAAGCACTCTCATATGTGAATCATAGCTTTCCTCTCTGAATAAAGTCGACCATCAAATGGAAGCTCTAAAACTTCCATAAATCAACTCACTCAATACGATGGACTCAATTTACTCTACTCCAACAAACTTCTACACAATCACATCCCCATTTCAGCAACTTGTATGCATGAATGGATTTAAGGAATACTGTTACACTTCTCAAATTCACATATGTGAACCTCTAATTCTACAACATACTATGTTTTGACCTGTCCATTTCCTCACTCACACTGAACCCATTTTTCACCACTACATCTTGTAATACCCTTTAACCCTAAGTAAAACAATTCTTGCTCCTGGACTTCTTAGCACTGCTGAAGAAAGTCACATAATTGTTGGAACCACAACCGCTACCATCTATATACTCACACTTATGAGTCTTTTTCAATATACTCACACTTATGAGTCTTCTTCAGACTTTGAAAGTCTTTCAAAATTAGTTAATAGTTCTTTTATTCATCCCTAATTGACCTCCTATTCTATTTTGAGCTCCAATACCACTTGAAGTCCCCTTTCTCAAAAGATGATCTTGCCTTCTATTTCACTTAGAAGCCAAGTCTGTAGTATCCTTAACTTTTCAAAATTTATCCTTATCTTTATCCCCTTACCTCCCTTCTCCATGTCTTAAAAAACTGTGCTTTGATTCCATCCTCCCCCATTTCTTCTGCAACCTTATCCTATCAATTATCTCCTACCTGGTATCTTTCTCTCCTCACTGACCCCTTCCCCACTCCAGACCAAGCTGGTTTTTAATAGTCTTTTTTTTAAGTTTTTTTTTTAAGTTTTTGGGGGAGAAGGTAATTAGGTTTATTTATTTATTCATTTATTTAATGGAGGCACTGGGCGATTGAACCCAGGACCTTGTGCTTGCTAGGCATGCACTCTACCACTGAGCTATATCCCACCCTCCAAATAGTTTTTTTTTAACATTTTTTATTGAATTATAGTCATTTTACAATGTTGTATCAAATTCCAGTGCTAAGCACAATTTTTCAGTTATACATGAACATACATATATTCATTGTCACATTTTTTTTCGCTGTGAGCTACAAGATCTTGTATATATTTCCCTGTGCTATACAGTATAATTTTGTTTATCTATTCTACATATGCCTGCCAGTATCTACAAATTTTGAACTCCCAGTCTATCCCTTCCCACCCTCCTCAAATAGTTTTTTTTTAATATTTTTTCTATCTAATTTCATACTCAAGCTTGTTCCAGAAATCTTTCCCTCACATCTCATTTTGTTTCCTCACCACCACTCATTCATTTAGCCTCCTGAAATCTTTTGTCCATACTGCTCTACTAACTACAATCAGTGGTAAAAAAGTAATCTCCTAATTGCCAAATCCAGCATCCTCCAACTATTTAACTCTCTGATTCACATTGCTTTTTACTCTCCTCCCTTGCTTCCCAAGAGTATCACATGCCTTCTAAACTGCCTATCTAACTGCTTACCAGTGTTTCTTCCTCCCTACTTTGAAATTAAATATACGTGATCCAAGACTTTTCTCACTCCATACTGTTTCTGCAGATAATTCTATTCATTCCAATCGCTTCAACTAACATCACTGCAAATAAAGTAGTTTTATCATGATGAATTGTAGATTCTGGTTTTGAATTTCAATTATGGTTCATTAGACTTCATGTAAAATATGCAGACATCATCTGGGCCTACTGAAAATAGAAAGGTGTATATCATTATGGGACACCAGATGCTCAAGACGAAACTAGGGGAGAAGGGAAGAGTTTCAAAATTAAGCAAGTCTGAGAAACACTGCATGTTCAGTCACTCTCCTGGAGGGGCAAAATGTACAGCAGTAGAGCAAAAGATCTGAAAAATCCTGAAGTAAATAAATTTTTCCTATAACAGTTGTCACACTTATTTGTCCATGAAACCTTTTTTCCAAGTAAGGTTCACTAACATCCTATGAAAGTAAAAGAGGTTAAAACTATATATTTTGTAATCAAAAGACCAGATTTTGAATCCTGGCTCTGCTTCTTACTTACATTGCTAACAGTTGCTTACCCTGCCTAAATTCCAGGGTCCCAACTGTAAATCAGAAATAATAACCACCTCAGAAGGCTTTTGAAAGAATTATAAAGTTTCCAAAATTCTTAGCAGACTTATTAGTATCTAAGTACTCAAAAAACATATGTATCCTTAACTGCAAATGAGAATAAACACAGATCTCCAAGGATGTTGCCTGCACAGGTGATAATATGAAATTTACTTCAACTTCCCTGTTTTAATTCAAAAATTCATTTGAAAATTGTGACCTATGACTTTAACATATGTTACACTTTTATTGTTGTTGTTGGTAAACATTTCTCATGGCCATTCTCCCTTCAGTGACCCATGCATTTAATCATTTCATTCAACTTTCAGTAAACCTGTTTCTGGTGCCAATAATTTTTTATCTGTGTCCCCACCTAATTCACAGCTTAGATACGCTGTGAACTTGAAAATAAGATATTCATCTTTTGGGCAGTTATAAATAATTTAAACACATAGTTTCAATATAGTATGAAGAAAGGTTTCAGAAGCTTCTCATGAGTGATCTTTAGCATACAAACTTACATTTCTACTCTCATGCTTACAAGTGTATTATACTTAATTCCTGCTTCATGACCACATTCCAGAAAAGTAGGGTAATCAGAGTTTTTGTGGGTCTTCTACAGAGGGAATTTTTCTTTATTAAGTCATTTTAAAACAAACAATAAACATATTGCATGTTAACATACCTAAAATATTTTAAAATAACATCATTTCCCCCTAAAATGAGAATGGCATTATTTTACTTTTTGCAAATCTCTTTAACACCTGGCTTAATAAAAAGCAGATGATTTCCCCTATATGCTTCTGTATTCAATTTGCTGTGATACACGTCATGTAGCCTCTGGAAAACTCTACTGAACACACGTGGGAGAATACGAGGAAAAGGCAAATAATGCCTTAAAATTATGAAAAACTTTGACCTCACAGACCCAAAAAGGTCCCAGGGAACCCAGAGGTCACCAGGCCACACCTTGAGAACCAGGGCCTAAAATAAATACAGTCATGCCGAAGCTATCCAACTCCTACAGTTATCAGTTATGTGAGTCCACAAACACTTATTTTATGTTTTGCTTAAGCCAGCTGGAATGGGGCTTCTACTACTTGCAACTACAAGAGTTCTGAGCAAAATGAAGGCACCTTCATAGTTCTTCCTTGTTCAGAAAGAAGTTCAGGGAAACCTAGTGAAGTTTCACAGAGGAAACTTGAAACTTGTGTCTTGTTTTCTCTTTCTATTGCCATCCACCTTCTTTATACCTCTAACATTTAATTCTTCCTGTTTTATTAATCAAATTCCTATCTTTGGATACTTATGAAATTCTCATGACCATAAATATCACTTCCAGTCATTTGAGATCCAGCTAGTAACCCTCCTAATGAAATGGCAACTGCATGCATATAAATGTCACACAGAATTCAAAATTCCTTTAAACCAACTGATCATTTGTTTTATTTCTGAGAATTTATGTGAGCAAATTAAATCTACACTATTAAGAAAAGAGTCATTCCTAAAAATTAATATTCATCTCTTAAAACCAGATAAATACTGGAGAACAGCTAGGTAATATGAGATTTGAGACTGGTTTTTATTATATGTTAATAATTACTTTTCAGAAAGGACAGTTAGTTCCAAAAGGGAAGTTAGCAGGAGAAAAAAAAAATCCTCCCCAGAGAGAGCACACACAAATATCAATGCCTTTTAAGAATTAACAATTTTATTCTCCAATTTTACTTCCCACAACTACTTGCACCAAATTAACATAAACAAATAAATGAATATATCTGAGTGTAACCAGATAAAGAGGGTGGGATGTGCTGAAAGACAAGTCTAACATCTTACCTCTATCCCAGAAAAAAATGTATTAAGTCAAGATGAAATGCATTTATTGAAAAAATGTTGTGCATCTTCAACAAAGATATGATTACTGCTAAAGTTCTGCGTTAGGAAGCACACAAATGACACCAGATAAACACTGTGCATTTTTCTAATGTGTCCATTTTACTTAAAGGCTTCAGGGGACAAAAGTATATTAAAACAAACATCGATCCATTGGAGGCATATACATACATATATGTGTGTATATATGTATATGTAATACATACATATACTTTCAAAGGCAAAGAATATCTCTAAAATACACACACACACACACACACACACACACAAAAGGGTATATACACTGCTTATGAAAAGGCAATTACAGGTTCTCAACTGCTTCAGGCAATGTCTCTGAGATCCGTGTTCACTCTCCTTTGTGGATAAGGCCAAAAAAACTTTGAGATGCACTACCACAAAGGCACTCCTAAATAAATATGGAATTGTTAAGACTGCCTATGCAACAATAGACGGCACAATAAGAAATGAGAAAATGAAATGAAATGATCGATGCAACGGCTGTTGTATACTAGACTGTAAGCTGAGACCTCGTCCCCCCTCCTTTGGTAGGTCTACAGGACTTAACACAGAAATTGCAATACCCTTTTTGGATGAGATCTTTAACAAAAACTTGTTGACTGGGAGGAACTCAACCTCACGTCTTACAACTCCACTTTTGTGCTTTTAAGATGTTGTACCCAAAACTGAAGATAGTCATTTAACCCATAAAGGAACTTCAAAAACAAAAATATGCTGAGAATAAAAACACAATGAAACACGGCTTCAAATCCTTTGTGCGACTCTTTAATCACTTTTGGAAGAAGGGAGAAGCTAGAAAAGAAAAAGGGTTATTGAACAGGCCCGTTCAAAAGAACAAGACACGTTGCAGCGTTTATACCAGGAATGAAGCGTCTATCAGCAAACCCCGCCTCTCCTTTGCAGCCACTTCTACTTGCCAAGAGGTGGGGGTGGGGTGGGGGTAAGACATAGGCAAAGCCGAGAATCAAAGAAAGGGGAAAGAGGGGTCAGGCGCTGGGAAGCTGGAAATGAAACTGGAACATTGGTGGAATTATGAGGAAGGCGTGGCAGGAGAGCTGCAAACCAACCGGGAAGATCCGTGGGCCGACGAGACACAAGCAAGGTGCTCGCCGGAGGAGGAGGAAAATGAAAGGGGTACTGAGGTGAAGAGTAGGCGAGGCTTTGATGACAGCTCGGACTGGGTCTTCGACTCGCAGGGGCCAGGGAGATCCGGGAGTCTTCCATTGTGCGCGCCCCTCCGCTCCCTCCGCTCCCTCCCCTCCCGTCCCCTCCCCTCCCTTCCCCGCCCCCGCCGGAGTCCGAGCCCGAGCCCTCGCAGCTCCGGGCCGCAGCGCCCGTCGCCGTCAGTACCTCTCATTTGCCCAAGGTAGGAGACGATATGGTCAGCCCTCGACCCTTTCTCACCGGATGGAGCTCGCCGTCGCCCGGCCTTCTCCTTGTCCATCTTCTCCTCCTTCTGCTGGATTCGCAGTTGCTGTCGCTGTCAAGACCCCTCAGGCTGGGGGAGGGAGGGGGAGGGGAGAGAAAAAAAAAAGCCAGGAAAGGGTGAACTGCGCCTGCGCAAGAGCCGTCGCTGCCTGCCCTCAGGCCGGAAGTTGGCCGCCCCTCCCACCTCCACCCGGAAATCACTTCCTGAGACTTGTTTTCTCTTCGGGTTACCCGCTCCATTGCTCCTTTGGTGTTTTTCTCATCTTCTGCCACAACGGGAAACTGAGGCTGGGTGCGACCTTTTAGCCCGAGATCATAAAGGCGTTGTTGACTTTGAAGATTAGGTTGATTAAAAATTAAAGAGGGGAAACTTTTAGGAATTCCTCCACTTTACTGGAGGGGACCCCAGAAATATGAGAATAAAACATTACTCCTTTTGAGTTATTACTTCCCCCACGGCCTTTCCTGTATATTTGTCCTCAAGGGGCTTCCTCAAACACAGAAACAAAAAGATTTAAAGACAACAAAAGTCAATGGCCTAGCTATTGGTTTAACAGTTGGAGTGGAAATAAATTAGCTCAGCTGAGGGAAAAAATGTAATTATAGAAAGGATCTCTCTTACAATTCAAACTCACCATTTTTAAAGACCCAGGGGGAAAAAGATAAGCTGGACCTAAATTTTTAAGAAACATAAAATGCTGAGGTGCTAGAAAGTGAGTGGCTGTAAATGAATTTGTTCAACTTTTATTACAGCATTTAAGGGAATAACCCTGACCTCAATGAACTCCAAGTCCCGTACTTTTAGACTGATTTTTTTTTTAGTTGTTATATGGCCTATCAGTTTAGATAACTGTCCTATCTTACTAGCCATAAGGTACATACTTGAATAATTTTTTTCAATGTATAGGCTTTAATCAGAATAAGTTAAACAAAATGTAGCAGAGCGCTCCAATCAGGCAAAATGACATTGGAGTGTTTTACGAGTTTTAACATCCGCTTCCCCTCCTCCATTTTACAAAGGCTGGTAAAAGGAGTTTCCCAACTTCACCACTAGAGCCCAGACTCGAGCTTCTCCAGCCCTGCCTCTTAAATACTGTGTTTGGTCTGTGCTAAAATAGAGGTAAGCCTCCAGGTGCTAAGGCCTGTTGAGCTGGGGGGAGTGTCTTACAGGGCAGGAATGGCTGAAAAGCAGAATACGTCAGGGCTTGCTGAGAATGAAATTCACTACAAGGCTTTCATTTAGAAACTCTAGTTTATTTCTGTTTAACAAATAAAAGCTCTCCTTACTGAAAAATTTCTGAATTTTGTTTCCTCATACATCAACTTTCTTAATTCAATGATTTAACTCAAGAATCAAACTTGCTTAATTTATCAATTGATGATACAGGAAACAAATAAACTGCAAAAGATGGAAATAGAACTGAGAGATGGAAACATAACAAAGGAAATTGTAAGTACGAGGAATACATTTCCGTCCAAACTTACAGCTTCCATAAAAGTAAGTGGTTTTAAAGTTTAGCGGTAAGAAGTGAACCTATGAGAAATGAAATTATAAAGTTAATCAAATTATTCAGCTTGCAAATGTATCATTTAAACTTATCATTGAATATAGCATTTCTGCAAGTAAAGATGTAGTGAGTCAGTGTATTTTTTTATTTTGAAGCTGGTTTTGCTTAACATATTTGAAGGTAAATGACCTTTAAGCTCAAGAATTTCAAATTTGCTTTTTAAACCAGTATTTTTATTTAGTTTTAACAATCTCTACTGCTCGGTTGACTGTATTGCAAACAACTAAAGGATTAAAATATTTAGTTTCTACTTTTGAGGGAGTCATTTAACAACCTCACTTTGCCTATCATGATAGACTATTATGATCTTTTATAGTGTTTTATGATATTAAGGTGAAAACTTCCATATCTTAAAAGAAAAAAGAAAAATCAAAAAAAGTGAATGACTTAGTATGTTTGGGGATAAGTTAATTTATTTTATGTACATTTAGCTCACAGTGTATAAAGCCTTTTAAATTAAGATATTTAAGATTAGAAATTCATCAGCCCAGTATTTTGTAATACAAAATTTGATCTTAATGAGCATGGTTCTTTACTGAATGTTAAAAGTGCATATAAAGTGTTTAAATTAGGTATTCAATGTATTTTTGTTTTAAGCAATGGGTGTGGTTTTAATAGTTTCAAGACACAGTGGCTCTGTGAAATATATCAACTCTTTATTTTATCCCCTTGATTAACAATTTCTTTGAAGAGAGCTTAATGAAAATAAAGACCCTTTCTCTTCAGGAGTGAATTAACTTTAAGTATAATATGAATGTAAATAGACATGGATGGGCACTGGGTACACACTGACATCCTAAACTATGTTAAAAATTAAAATGAACAATCTAGAATTCCTTACCATAGGCTCCCAGAATGCCTAGATTTGCAAAGATATTTGGAGCACTGTGTCATATTGCTATTAGCCTCATTTTCATTCATAGTTGAATCTTATCTTTAAAATATTGAGAATTCTTACATGAAGGAAGTTTTTCTTCCAGGTATAAGTGAAGTAACACGTGATTTCATGAAAAAAATGAGTATAGGTTTTTTGGTTTCAAGGATATCTTCCTTTTTAAGACAATGAACAGTTTTAACTGCTCTGCAATATAATAGCCTGTTCCCAGAAGTTATGAAAACCTGAAGTGTCTCAAGGTATTTAAGCAGCAGACGGTTTTGTCTAGGAGGCTATAAAAGGACAAACCTTTAACCTAAGTTCCCTAAACTGTCACTGAGCTCTGGTGCTGAGCCCAGGGTATTCTGTACATACACCACTAACTTCTTTGGAGTGTTCTATCTTAAAATGTGATATTAGTGTTTCTATGCCTTAATACATTTGGTTGATTTTAATAGAAAATTTTCATTTTATGTTACTATTTAGTAAAATTGAGGCTTTAGACTGTCTTCTTTATCCTTTATCTTTTTTTAAAACATTTTTAATTGAGTTCTAGTCATTTTACAATGTTGTCTCAATTTCCAATGTAGAGCACAATTTTTCAGTTATACATGAACATACATATATTCATTGTTGCATTTTTTTCGCTGTGAGCTACCACAAGATCTTGTATATATTTCCCTGTGCTATACAATATAATCTTGTTTATCTATCCTTTATCTTTTGGTACCCACTTACCTCTGAATAATCGCAATCAAGAAGCATAGGATCTAGGATTGGACAGTCAGTAAATCCAAAATGTAGCTGTCAGAATTTTAACAGTTTCCCAGAAAGACATACCAAGTTAAAAAAAAAAAAGAATAAAACTAAACTGCCAAACTATAGGCCCCAGGGCTGCACGCTTAGGAGATAACAACCATAAAGAAATACAAAGCATTGATTTCTATATGATTTCTGTAAAGTTCAGAGAGTGGTTGCTTGAAGGCATTTTAGGGGTGGCTGGCAAAGCTAAAAGTTTCTCCGTATAATAGTTCACCAATTAGTTTTCTAAGAAATTTTCCTGGAAGATTTGATTTCATTCTCAAATTTGGGAAACTCAAAATTTGTGACACCTGATTTTTTTTCTATCTCTGATACCCCATTTTCTATGCCTCAGGTGGATTAAATTAAGCTTCGTTAGTATTTCCTGGGGAGAGGTAGGCAAGGGGAAGGGTATTTGGGGAAAGTGATTTAGTTTGCTCTTTTTTCAGACTTTCAGATATATAATTCCATTAGCTCTGTCATTTTCTACAATTTACTGAATGGAATTGTATACTGGCATAATTGTTTTTCTGAAAAAAACGCTCATTGCATTTCTCTGTTGGGAAAATAAAAATCGTGGTATCAAAACAATCATTCTTAAAATACGTTTTTCAGGGGTTTTTTTCTTTCTGTTTCATTTTGTTTTTCTAAGTGTATAAACAAATAAAAACATGTTCATTTTAATAAGTATCTTTAGATACTTTTTAATTTTCTGAGTGAAATATCCCTCATTCTGTGCTTCTTAATGCCATGCAGTACACAATACAACCTCTTTCTTAAGTATACCAAACTACTGTAATCACTGTAATAGTGTATATTACTGTGTAACCTGAGGTTAAATCCTAACTTCTCAGGTTGTAAAATCATATTTTCATAAAAGCTTACTAATCACTTGTGAAAAATATTGTTACATATGACCAGTTTATGATCCTAGAGAGGGAGTTCCTTAAAACCAAAATAAACTAAATTTTTTGCATCTGTGATTCTATTGCCCAACCACAGTCTTCTTGTCAAATTCATAAAGACAGAAAGTAGAATGGTTTGCCACGGGCTGAGGCTAAGGGGAAATATAAAATTATAGCTTACTAAGCACAAAGTTAAAGTTTCACAAGATGAAAAATGTTCTATTGAAGGAGGGCAGTAATGGTTGCACAACAATGTGAATGTACTCAATGCCCCTGAACTGCCCATGTAAAAATGGTTAACGTTGTAAATTTTAGTATGGCTTACCATGATTTTTAAAATAATTATAGCCATGCCTAGAGCAAAACCTAACAGCTGTGTCACCACCTAATCCAGGAAGGACCTAATTTGAAATTCTTATTAATGATTATATGTTATTCTCCTTTAAAAGAAAAATTCATTCAACATAAAATGACTAGACTACTTGACATAGGAAACTAAGCTAACAAATGCCCTCACCAAATTTTTGGTGAATGAATCAAATAAAAACTCAAATACTATGCATTTTTAAGAACACTGATTAAAAATTAACATTCTCTCAGGCTTGTGGAGCTGCCTGAGTTATTTTGGGCATATCACTTTACCTTTAAAAGCATCACTTATATAAAATAAACATACTAGCTAAGAATATCGATAACATCTTTTTAGCTCTGAAATTCTTATTCTTGAAGTTAAGCTATCTTATTCCAACCCATTCTTTAGAAAACTAAGCAGGTAAAACAGTTTGATTCTCTCCTTTATGTTAATGGACCATCTCAATTTGAAAAGAGAAAACAAACATATGTAGATGCATATGATATTCTTTAGGAATAATGAATAAATCAACATTTATCAGCTTTAGAATTATAGAAGAAGCCTCTATAATTTTTCAAAAGTTTTGTGTGCATCTTTCTCCTGTGTATACAGCTAGAGGATTTTACTCTTACTTATGCTCTTATCAAAAACCATAAAATTGTAACAGTATTTAAATACATACTATACCAGGCACTATTCCAAGAACTAGTGAACAAAACAAAGTCCTTGTCCCTACTGTCATGGAACTTACATACTAATGAGGAGAAACAGACAATAAACATGTTTATGTCAGTTGATAATAAGTACAAAAGAAAAGAAAGAGGAAGGAGGGAGAAGGAGGAAGGAAGGAAGAGAGGGAGGGAGGAAGGAAGGAGGAAAGTGAAGTATCATAGATAGACAGGGTGTAAGGAAGGACTGGAGGGGATTGCCCTTTCAGATAGAATGCTCAGAGAGCTACTCTGGTCAGATAACTGTTGGGCAGAAACTTGAAGGAAGTGAAGCCCTGTAGATATATAGGGCAAACGTGCTCCAAGCTGTGGGCATAGCAAGGGAGATGCCCTTAATCAGGAGCTTGCTTCACAAGTTGGCGGCAAAGAAGCCAGGTGTGGCTAGAGTGAAGTAAGCAAGAGAGTAGTGGGAAATGATACCTGAGCAAGAGCTGAGGGTCAGATCATGTAGCTAGATGAGTAAGCAAGTGCAGCAAGTGGAGGGAAATGACCTAGGAGAGCTATGGTGAGGACTTTTATTCTGTGTGCTATGGTATATTTATACAATGGAATAGTACTCAGCCATAAAAAATAATAAAATAATGCCATTTGCGACCTGGAGTGTGTTATTCTAAGTGAAGTAAGCCAGAAAGAGAAAGAAAAATACCATATGATGTCACTTATATCTAAATTATCTTTTAAAAATCTAAAAAAAACTTATTTATAAAACAGAAACAGACTCACAGACATAGAAAACAAACTTATGATAGATAAACAAGATTACACTGTATAGCACAGGGAAATATACACAAAATGTTATGATAAATCACAGAGAAAAAAATGTGAAAAAAAATAAATAAAAAATAAAAAAAAAGAAAAGAAAACAAACTTATGGTTACCAGGGAGGGAAGGGAGTGGGAAGGGATAAATTGGGAGTTCGAGATTTACAGATACTAACTACTATATATAAAACAGATAAACAGTAAGTTTATACTATATAGCACAGGGAACTATATTCAATACCTTATAGTAACCTATAATGAAAAAGAATATGAAAACGAATATATGTATTATATATATGACTGAACTATTATGCTGTACACTAGAAATTAACACAACATTGTAAACTGACTATACTTCAATTTAAAACAAAAGGAAAAAGAGGAGACAACTAAGAATTTTGAACAGGGGTGTGGGATCTAATGTAGATGTTTTGAAAAGAGCATCCTAGCCACATGCCATGAAATAAGAGTTTAGGCAAAGAGACTGGATAGGAAGCTTAATAATGAAGGTGAGTGTTGATAGTGACTTGGACTAGGGCTAGGGGAGTAGAGAGGGAGGGGTGATAGGTGATTAGATTTCAGATATATTTCAAATAAGAGAGCCTGTAGACTTGCTAATTGATCAGATGTGATGTGTGAAAGAGAAAAGAAGTTTGCAGCACTGGCAACTGAAAGAATGGAGTTATCACTAATATGGGCAAGATGAGAGTGAGAGTAGATTGATGGGAGTGCTTTGGGCGCGTTAAGTTTGAGATAGCTATTTGACATTAAAGTAAATATATCACGTAAACAGATATGAATTCAGGGGAGAGTTACATGTTGGAATATATTAGCCAAGCAAAATGTGCTACAGTGAACTCTAGAGAACTGTCTACCTTTTCATCCTACAAGACACTCTCCCCCCCTTGCTCCTGTTCACCTCACCTATATCTGGCCTTTATATATCTGTGTGCCATTTTGGTCTTCCAGTTTGCAAATGCCCATTCATTCCCGTGGAGAATTGTCTCTCAGTTAGGTACACAAGCACTTAATAAAGTTGAAAGAGAGTAATTGAATGCTGTATACTGTGTGCTATTAGAAAATACTGATTTTGTTTATTTAACTGTGATTGAAAGAAAGTTAGTTAGCTAACAAGATTCTTTAGTTCGTTGGTTTAGTTTAGTTGGGTTAGGTTTAGTTTGTTGAATTTTAAATATTCAGTACCTTTCTCTTTATTTCAGTACAGAAAAAGGCAATTTTCAGCACAGCACCTGAATAAACAAAGTATTTTTAAATCTAAGAGATTACTGCTTTTCTGTGCAAACCTCCTCATCCATGCCAAATTATAAAGTAGATCTTCCTTTTTGAGAGAGCAGTTTGGCAATATCTAGTAAAATAGAATATGATGCTATGACCTAGAATTTCCACTTCTAGGTATATTTCCTAGAGAAACCCTTGATATATGCACAAAAATATAGCTTGAAGAATGTTCTTTGCAGCTTTGCTTATAATCATGGAAAACTGGAGTAACCTAAATGGTCTTAAACAGGAAAATGGTTAAACAAAAACTATGGCATATTCAAGCAACATAACACTATAAATAGATACAATGAAATGAATGACTATTAATGTGGATAAAAATCACAATGTTGAGTGACTAAGGCAGCCTCAACAAGAGATACATGTTTTTTTTATTTCACATTTCTCAAAAAGGAAGATCATCCAATACCTAATTTCAAAGAACTTTCCATTAATGAGACACTACATAAAATGGTTTTTACCTACAGTTAATTCTCACAGCAGCCTGGTAAAATAAATGATGTTATGGTATTTTGCATTTATTCATTCAAAATTTTTTTCTTTTTTCAAAAAAAATTTATATAATTTGTGCCAGACGCTTTGAAAGTACTGAAGATAGAGCAGTTAATTAAAGTTCCTGTTCTCATAGAGCTTTCATTCTAGCGAAGGGAGACATAATTTTTAAATATACAAACAATTATATGTCAGGTGGTAATGTAGGCTAGGAAGAAAAATAAAGCAGAGGAGCAGGATGGAGATTGCTGTTTCAGAGAGTATAAACTAAAAGTCAGAAGTTGAAGAAACTGAAACTCATATAGAGGTTAAGAAACCTGCTAAAAGTCACTCAACTTAAAATGTGGAGCTAGGATTCAAACCTAAATCAATCTAATTCCAGAGGCTTCTCCTTTTAAAGTATGGTCAGGCCTATCTGTCATTTATACTCTGAAAAGATATTAACTACATAACAGCACCTGATATGAGCAACACCATAAGAGAAAGTTTTTAATGGAATGGTAAATCAAGAGCAGTCTAAATAAGTTGGATGCTTTGGACAACTACCTTCATAAAGTACTTGTTGGGTATTTGCCTTTAGAGCAAGTCAGTTACATTTTCAAAGTCTTTTCTTTTCCCTTTGGGTTCTGTCCACAATAACTGTCTTAACTTCTCAGTCAGCCACTTTTTTTCTTCTCACAATAATCAGAATAGCCATATCTTCTATTAGATAAATTGGTCATAATCTACAATGCCTAGTTCACGTTTCACTCTCACTGCCATCCCGTGCCATTTATTCAATAGAAAAAAAATTTAATGCTTAAATGAAATAAACAAAGACCAACCAAATGAGAAAAGCAAAACCTATTCATTCTGAGCTCACCATAGCAAGGGAATCAGCCACCATCACTTGCAGAGTGACAGGACTCAAAGGCAGGCAGAGGCAGAGGAGTGGAGAAGCTTTTTAGTGGAAAAAAGGGAAGGTTGCTGGTGTGTCCTAACTGGATGCTGTTGGCCTGAGGAAGCTGTAGGCAGGCTAACCAGAGGGAGGCATCCTATGTCACTGATTCGGGGTACATATTTGGCTTTATCTGGTGGATCCTAAATTGGAAGCAGGGGTAAAAATTAGGGAAGCTCTAAGTTACTAATCAAGTCTTGGCCATTTGGGGCCAATTGTAACAGAAGTTATTGTTCAGCTTCTCAGATTGTCGCTAGAGGTAGCAACCTGACTTCCTGCAAGTCTGACTTAATAAGACTGGCTTTTTCCTGGGCTGTTTATTATAGATAAGGGATTGGCTTTCTGGGCAAATTGCTACACATTACAGGTCAGAATTCTGTTTTTATATATGGCCTGACCACTGTCCCTTAGTGTATTCAGTCTCTCACTACTTTGCATAGTTCACATTTATTTTGACTTAAAATCTTTACCATAATAAAGGTAAAAATAAAAGGTTAATGTCTTCATGAAGTGCTTAATTTAGCATGATTTCCCACAGGAAGAATTTAGCAAGCTGAATTTTTTTAACACTGACATATTATTGCTTTTTACTTTCAGTGGTTACCAGTAACTCAAGAACTGAGCTTCCAAAAATTTATTGAACAGTCTGACTTACTAGAAGAACTTAAATATGACTTCAATGAAAAAGCTGAATTGAGACACATTGAGACGCATAGGCCTTTCATCTTTAACTATTATAAAAATGTCCTGGAGAGGAATAGCAAGCGCTACCAGGCCCTGGGCCATTTGCTTGAACAATACATTTATGTACTTTTGGAGAAAGTGTGCAAATTACAAAGAGTATATATCCCACTAGAGGCAAATAAGGAACCAAGAAGCTTCTTTTTCATGAGTGAGAGAGCATTAACAGATCATCATTCTGCTCTTCTTGTCCTTCTTCAAGATCATGGGGTCTTTAGAGCTGGTCAGTGGAGTCAGCAGGCAATAATTCATCATGGTCTCCAACATGGAAGTCAGATACCATGTATTCAGATGGCATTGCAGGCACATTATGATGTAATTGTGCTAAATCCCAATGACAATTCTGTGGACCTAAAGACAGAAAAAGAGTGGAAGGGCCTTTTAACACCAAATGTTGAGTCCTCTTCCAGAGAAATGGTTCAGGCTGAGAGCTTTTTCTCTCTCCAGCAGTCTCTCCAATGCCTTCCAAAAAGATGCAGTAACTCCCCTGAAGAACACATGGCTTACATTTGGGATTACTTCATTTCAAAGACTGAAGGCAAGGATGTTGCCTTCATTGTACATGGTTATGGAGGCTTGGTTTTTATGGACTTGCTCGTACGTAGAAAGTGGGAAGTGATGAGCAAAGTATATGCTGTTGCACTTATTGACTCTGAACATCACATAGGACACCAACTGGGGAATGACATCCAGTTATTAGCATGGATCAAGTACCACTGCTGTGAATGGGTGACAAGTCCGAAGACTCTGGATAAACCTGTAGCTACCATTTTGAAAAAGGAGTTTCCTATGGTTTCTGCTGGTACAGAAGAACACAACTTAGCCCCTTCCTTTAGCCTTCAGTCAATTTTTAAATACTTTAGAAAAGCTTTAAGAGCCAAAAAAGCTGTTAATTTATCTCGAATGCCAATAGTAACTAGAAGCTCCACAAAAAGAAAGCAAAGTGCTTAACTTACTTTTTTGTCATCTAAGATTTTTTTTGTCCCGTGGAGAAACTTTGCTAATGTAGAAGAAAAAGAACACTTCCAGCTCATATGCAATATTATGTTCTTGTTTGAAATTTGATTTGTTACTTTTTAAAAACATGAATATGTTCTCTTTTGTAGCCTATGAACCAGGAAGTCACTCAATACCATCATTAATATTTTACACGTTAAGAGTAGTAAAGTTAGAGAATCTTCTATTGAAAAGATTTCTTACGGTTTAATAGAATGACACCAAAACTGTACTTGATAGGAATTACATATTAAGTCAATATTTGATTTACATTATTGATACCATATTAAAATAAGTGAACATAAAAATTAAACATTAGCAAACTCCATTTCTTTATTTTTTTTTAAGTTTGGTCTTGTGTGTGTGTGTTTACTCATACCTTCACATAATACTTGAGTATCTACTATGTACAGTCAATACTAGATTTTGGGAACACTGGCAGACAAGGCCAACATTGCCTTTATCTTTATGGAGTTCACAATTAACAACAAGTTGCAAGCACTGAAGAGTGTTAGGGAAAAAGGGTTGTGGACATTCTAGCATGAAAGCTAACAGTCTTGGGGGTTAGGGAAAAGGCTCAAGAAAATGATGCTTAGTTTGAAAAATAGCAGTTAGCTGGGAAAACAAAGTCATTGGCAAAGGAATCACATGTGCAAATATCCTGAGACAGGAGAAGGAAGTCCTATTCAGCAGGAGCTAAAAGATTATGGGGGAGTAGTGTTAAAGAAAAAAATTATTCATGACATTTATTAAAGACAGTAAGGAAGATGTATTCAAAAGGGGTTGGTGCAATTGGGGTTTTGTAGGGGAGATAGATCAGGCTTACCTTCAAACACAGACAAGTTGGGGTGGAGAGAGATTTATATCCAAGGGTTAGTGAATGGAAAATTACTAAAATATAGGTAATAGAGATTCTTGCTAGACCAACTTAACAGGATTCTTACTGAAGGCAGGTCAGGGAGGTAAGGTATTGAGAGTGGAGGATGAAGAATTTTATCAGTTATAACAGAGGATGTTCAGGTAGCAAAAGTGGGAGGTTTTCACTGACTCAGCAGAATTCTTGCTAAAACTGGATTAAGCAGACCAAGGGCAGAACCCAATGTCAAACCTACTCAAGAGGGCTCAGAGAAGCCAGACTTAGATTTGGTTAAAGAGAGGGGTTTTGTCAGAAGCTGCAAAGTTAAGACAGAGAAGTAAACAGAGGCAGTTTACTCACTAGTAGTTTGTATCCCATGCCCCTAAATCGTCCCTCCCCCTTCCTCTCCCCTTTGGTAACTGTAAGTTTGTTTCCTATATCTGTGAGTCTGTTTCTGTTCTACATATACATTCAGCTTTTTTTTTAAGATTCCACATTTGGTAATATACAGTATTTGTATTTCTCTGACTTATTTCACTAAGCATAATATTCTTTAGTTCTTCCCATGTTGCTGCAAATGGCAATACTTCATTCTTTTATATGGTTGAGTAATATTGCATTGTATTTTATACACACATACACACATCTTAATCATCTGTTGATGGGCACTTAGATTGCCTCCATGTCATATTTAGTGCTTCTATGAACATTGGGGTGCATTATCTTTTTGAATTAGTGTTTTTGTTTTTTCTGGATATATGCCAAGGAGTGGATTGCTAGGTCATATGGTAGTTCTATTTCTACTTTTTTAAGAAACCTCCATACTGTTTACATAGTGGCTGCACCAATTTACATTCCCAACAGTGTATGAAGGTTCCTATTTCTCCACACCCTCTCCAACATTTGTTATTTATAGACTTTTTGATGATAGCCATTCTGACAGGTATGAGGCGATATTTCATTGTGATTTTGATTTGCAGAGAAATGCTTAATTCTTCCAATGAATGACATTTTGTGAGTGGAGGTCAGGAATAAGGAGAAAAAACAAGGACCAGATTTTTAACTTGACCAACTAGCTGGATAAAAATACTATTGTCTAAATAGGGACTACCATTGACAAATTTATTTTGGTGGTTCCAGAAAGTTTTAAAGAAAAAAAAAAGGAACAGGTTGCAAATTATTTTTTAGCTCTGCCCATACCTGAATAAGAGAGGAACCCAAGGTCAGAGGATGACGAAGCAGTATTCTTGCAGTCTCACAGAAGGCCAAGATCAAGAACTAATCCAGAAGAGGGCTCAAAGGAGCCTAAGTAAAGTTTGGTCAAGGAGATTCTTTGTCACTTGAATATCCTCATATCATGGCAGCTCACTTCTCCCAGGATGAATCAGCCAGGTAAATGAGGAAGCAGGAAACTACACTGCTTTTTATAATCTCTTTGAGGTCGCATACTGGTCGACTTTTTTTCTATTTGTTAGAAGTAAATTACTAAGTCCAAGGGAGGAGGAATTAGGCTCCACCTCTTGAGAGTGTCAAATAATTGGGGACATATTTCAGACTACCACATCAGAAATGATGCCAACTGCAACTAGTGGTATAGCAGCAACTCAGTTGTTGGTTATAAAAATATCTTGGCTCTGGGAGCATATTCATCCTGTCGTTTAAAATTTTTTCTTGTTTTGATAAACAGGTCTGTGTATTTAAAAACTAGTTTCCTCTTTCTCCACAAAACATCAGCATTTTTGCCACAAACACTAGTGTTGAAAATAAAGCTTTTAAACTTTCTCTCCTAGTGTCACCCTAAACTATTCTCTTACTTTGACTTTTGCTGTTGATCTATTTCTGCAGCTTGAAGCCAAAAAAGCACATCTCCAGATTTTGGACTATAAGTTGCAGAACAGAAATGTGTCCTGATAGAGAAAAGACTGATATAGGAGCCCTTCAGGAAATTCCTAAAACTTTCTGACATCACTCTGTGATGATTTTTTTCCCTTCTTGTGGAAAACAGAGGTAATAGACTGTGATCAATGTTTGTAAGCCTACTACACCAAAATTTATGTTTCACTTCCCAATACTAAACATATCTTAATGAAAAAAAAACATGTTGTTTGCAAATTTGCTATGACAAGTCTCTGTTAAAGAAGAAAGCAAGAAATCCTCTTACTTCCTTTTCAATGTTTCTTCAAAAGCAGTGGTTCTCTAACTTTAAAGTACGTCAAGATAACCTGGAGGTTTTAAGACAAAGATTGCTAGCTGTCACTGCCAGAGTTCCTGATTCAGTAGAACTGGCAGGTGGGGACAAAAATTTGCCTTTTGACTAGTTCCCTGGGGATGCTGCCGCTACAGGTCTGGGAACCTCACTGTGTGAACCACTGTTAGAAAGACTAGGGGTGGCCAGAGAGGTAATAAAGTTAAATTTGCTTCTTGAGAGGTGAAAGTTATGATGGACTCTCATCTGGCCTAAAGTTCCTCCCCTGAGGAAAGCAACAAAAGGGGGTTGTTGACTGAGCCCATGTTTTAAGGCCCCAAAGATCCAAATGAATTGACACATTTGGTTTTCCCTCCTGTAGGAAAAGAAGTGGCGCGTCTCACTTACCTTTCAAGTTACTTCCAGTTATCCTCCACATAATTTACGCAAATACAAATTAAAAACGGGATTTAATTCTCCTTATTCAAAATAAAGGAAGAGACTTCTCCCCCTCTCCCTTTTCTTGCAGAATTTCTTTCTCCATCTCTTCAAAATGTATTTAAATATTTATAATGGCTATATAAGCCTCTTGCCAGTCTCACAACTCAGGAATGTTTCTTCAGAAAGCTGGGAGTCATCTTTTTGAAATGCAAAGATCAAGGGAGATAGCGTCCCTATCTATCTCACAGGTCTTGTGGGAAGACAAAAACCTAACTTTAGGGGGCGCCTTGCTCCAATTTGCAAAACTACCTCCTCTCAGAAAGATGAGACATTTGTTTCATTTTTTAATTCTGTGTTGCACGACAGTGCCGCTTTTCCACGCCGGAAGACTTTCCCTTTGTGGTGTGACGTCTTATGGCAGCGCCGGGAAGAAAGGGTGGGACTTCCGGCTGCGGCTCTTCGGTCAGCAACTGATACGGCGTGGAGTGATAGGCGGACTGTGGTTGCGGAGCGGATCTCTGGGCAGCGCTTCGCGGCTGAATCCTGCGTCCTCTTGGGGTCCCTGCGATTTGCACTGGTGGGAAACATCCTGTCTGCACTCCTGGTATGGACGGATTTCTTGTCACCTGCCAGTGTGTGGTGACGTGGGAGAAAGCGGGAGAACTAAGATACGCTAAGTGGCGCATGTGCGCTAAGCAGCCCACAGATAGGAGGAAGCCCAGTGATTTAATAGACTATAAGCAGTACAATATCTGGAACAAGAGAAGTGTATCCCAAAATAGTATCTTTGTTCACTTTTTCAGTTTGGCGGGTTTTGGTTTTATTTCTATGATGTCCTAAAAATTCTAACCAGGTACAAAGACAAAACTCAAAAAAGACTGTTTCTGAAATAAATGTTTCGCATGTTGGGGCTGAGAGCTCGGTTAAATGTTTCGAGGAAGCTAAAGTAAATTGTTTTTTCTTTAAAAGGTGGCTGGATGTGTTTTAAGTGTGAGAATCACTGACCTTGAGTATTTAATCGAAAAATCTTCAATGATAAATGTGAGCCGTATACTGCCAGGCAGTGGGTTCAGTGTTAATATACAGCCCTTGTCCTGATAGAGTTTACCGTGTAGTGGGGCAAATAAGTAACCAGGTAGTTACAATTCAGCATTACAAGCATTATAGTGGACAAGTACAAGATGCTAAAAGAATAGTAGGGGGAATACTTGACCTAAAGTTTGAGGTGAAGAATAGCTAGAGATGTAGCTGAAGAGTTAAGCAGAGGGTGTTTTTTATGAAAAATTTTTATAAGTCTTATATATGTTTAGACTTTAACCTGGCAGCAGTAGGCTTAAACATACACATTGAGGATGTCAATGTATTGATCAGATTTGCACTAGCTCCAAATGACTTAGAGATGAGGGAGAGTAAATCTAGGAGATGCAATAAAGAAAACAGGGTTGAAGAGAAGTGAATGGATTCGAGAAGTGTTTAGAAAGTAAATAAATATAATTCAGATGGATTAGGTATGGTGCGTGTGAGAGGGAACAGTAATGAAATGACCTCGTTTCTGGCTTCAGCAAATGGACAGATAGCAGTGTCCCTTCCTGATACAATGCAGAAAGAGAAGCAGCTTGGGAAGGGAACGGAGAGAGTTTATTTCAGTTTGTGCATTTGAGTTGTCATGGTGATTGAAGCCAAGGAGGTAGATCAAGCTCATAGGGAAAATGTTTAGATTGAAAAAAGCGCTAAGGACAGAATTCAGAAGCACATCCACTTCTTATGTGGGGTGGGAAGTGGAATCTGAGCATCAGTGCACAGGTCAGAGACCCAGGAGCATGCAGTGTCATTAAATGAAGCCAAGGGAAGAAGGAATTTTTCAACTATTTTAGTTGAATTTTATGAAAAATTTAATGCCTTTTTTTCCCTTCAAATCTGGCACTAGTTTCACATATTTAAGCATCTTCATTGTTTTGTGGATATCTTTAGAATAAAATTGTGGAGCTTATTTATATTTACCCTAATTTGGGGTATTTTGTTTGGCAGTAACATTATTTGCTGCAGAATAAAGCCTAAATTGGAGAAGGGAGGTTTTGTTTTTAAATCAGTAGATCTCTCTATATTTCTGTTTTGAAAACATGAGGGTGCAGCAACTGCTAGGTGCTTTTTTAGTAGTTATCATTTGTAACTTAGCTGCCCTTTGTCTTCATGTGTTGCTTGTTGAGGATCTTGTGTTTGGGTCTGTATCTGGACTTAGTATAGAATGGAGAAGAATACAGCACCATTATCTCAGCCACGTCTGTGGTACATAAGTTTGTTATGCAGTAACATTGATTTTCTGGGCAGCCAGATACAAATCTAAAAAGGATCTTCAAGGTAACCTTTTGCCTAAAGTTAGCAGTGAAATTCAGATCTGAAATAAGACCCAAATAAGTTTTAAACTTTTTGCCTGGTGAGTGATCACAGCGTCCAGCCCACAGGAGTCAAAGAAAAATTAATGGTGCAGCAAGTAAGTTGGACTAAGATTCCATTTTGTGTTTCAGAAATCAGTATTTCGATGTCTCACATTTACACTTACTTGCATAGTTAGTTGAGAGGTTTTGAAAATCTTTAACTTTTCATTACACTTTTCTTCTTTTATAGGGCTTTTCTTATATGCCTATTTTCCTCAAAATGAGTGTTACCTTCTTAAGACCTTTTGCCAGAGTTTTGGTGCCATTTACCCTTCATAGGAAGAGAAGGGTTTTATGTTCAACTGTTCTGCAGAGACACATGTCTTCCAAAATACCAGCTGCATCCTACCCTAATAAGGAGAGTACATCACCTCCTGAACAGCTGGAGTTGGATGGGTGGAAAATTACAATGAAATCTAGCGCTCAAGAAGAGGGTGTTTCAACAGTTTCAAGTAGCAGGGATGAAGATCCTCTAACTGCCACCAAGGAGCTAATTGAGATGTGGAGACTACTTGGCAGAGACGTACCAGAACACATCAGTGAAGAAGAGCTCAAAACCATTATGGAATGTGTTTCTAAATCATCCAAAAGAAAATATTTAAAATATTTATATGTTAGGGAAAAAATGAAAAAAGTCAAGCAAATAAAAAAGGAAATGAAAATAGCAGCAAAAGAACAAGTAAAGAAAGATCAGCTACCAGAAACCACTAAGGAAGATAAACAGCAAAACTTTCTATTTCTCCGACTTTGGGATAGGAATATGGACATTGCAATGGGCTGGAAGGGTGCCCAGGCCATGCAGTTTGGACAACCTTTGGTTTTTGACATGGCTTATGATGACTGTATGAAACCAAAAGAACTGCAGAATGCTGTTTCTCAACTTTTAGAAAGTGAGGGATGGAACAGGAGAAATGTCGATCCTTTCCATATTTATTTTTGCAATCTTAAAACAGGTGGTGCTTACTATAGAGAGTTAGTTAAACGTTATGGAGAAAAGTGGAACAAATTGCTTTTAACAGCAACAGAAATGTCTCATGTAGATTTATTTCCAAAGGATAATATGATATATTTAACTGCAGATTCTCCCAATGTTATGACTACTTTCAAGCATGACAAGATTTATATAGTGGGATCTTTGGTTGATAAGAATATGCAGCCAGGCATATCCCTAGCCAAGGCAAAACGGCTGAAGCTGGCAACAGAATGCCTTCCACTAGATAAATATTTACAGTGGGACACTGGTACGAAAAATCTCACCTTAGATCAAATGATGCGTATTTTGTTATGTCTGAAAAACACTGGTAGTTGGGAAGAGGCTCTGAAGTTTGTTCCTAGGAGAAAACATACTGGTTATCTGGAGATTTCTCAGCATTCTCAAGAGTTTATTAACAGGTTGAAGAAGTCAAAGACTTTTAATTCATTTCCAAGAGGCTCTGTAAATAGACGCTCACAGAAAAGTTAGCTTGAATTAGAATAATTCAGTATAATCCAGTTCTATTAGTCTATTTCATCCTGAATGGAATTCACTTGCTCTTTCTTTTAAAGGTTGTTTTTCCAAACTAACTGAAATACTGTCTTTCTCCAATTAATTAAATATCTACAAAACTTTGGAACTATATTTTGTTACTATAAAAGGAAACAATAGTATTAAAAAGTAAAAAGAGTTGTCCACATTTGTTTGAGTCCAATAAAACAACTGTACCACTGGTGTGGCTTTTTTATGACTACTTTGAGCCTCAGACTTCATTTTCCTTCTTAAATGTTCTTTTAGCCATGTCAGTAACTACCCTTTCTTCAAAAATTGATGAATCTTCAGGTGGTGGTTGATTTTTTAAAGTAACATTTGGTACAGTGCTGGGCATGTCATAGGCACTAAGGTGTATTGTTTAACTGTATCTTGGTTAAACAGAAAGTTAAGACACCCCTTGGCATGTCATGAAATTGGGCTGCATAATGCCAAGTGGGTTTGTGGGGATAAAACTCATTTCTTGTCCTTTTAGGAAAAATGATTCATTTTAGAGTGTTACTACAGCGCTTCCCATATTGTAGTGTAGATGGCTTTTTTTTCAAGGAAATACTTCGTATTCTCTAGCCCTGTGATTTGAATGGAAGCTGCCATATTTTTACAGACCTTGCCCCCTGGCCACAGCTGATTATCCCAAAAAAGACACCTCACTCGAGCTTTGAGATGTGTATCTGACTTTAAGACAGGACAGTCAGAATCCTTTTCCAGGATTTTTGGACTTCTCAAGATAGCCTGTGTTAACTTTTCTAGTGGTAAACTTTGAGAGATAGGAAGCTCTGGAATTGGTGGTGGCCATGCCCTCTCCTATGAAGGAAGTCAGGCATACAGAAATGAACTTTAGGAACCATATTCATTGTAGACTTTTTGCACCGTTAAAAATTTTGAAAACATGGGAAATAGAGATGTATGGCCAAGTATTTGTACCTAGTTCCTAAACTGGAAATTAGCACAAGGTATACTATCCAATACATCTCTTAAAGCAGGACTCAAGTCTTCTACCAAATACTAAGTACCTACTCTGTGCCAAATAGTTACTATGAAATTTTCATTAATTATTTAAACAACTAAGTTTATGTACTATCATTAACAACTTTTTTACAGATAAGGAAAATTTACTTAAAATAATTCAGCCTTTAAGTATCTCAATTCAAAAGGTCTGTCTGACTAAAGTCTCAGCTTTTAACCTATAAATTAAGCCCTCTATAATAAGGCAAGTGTGAAATACAATGGAAAAACACAGAATGCCTAGCCCAAACTCAAGGAATCGAGAAAGGCCTTTAAGAAAGTGATGTGTAAACTTAGAATTGATGAGAAGTGCATTATGAGTGAATTTCAACTCTTAGACCCTACTAATTAGCAAGGTGCTAAT